AAGAAGAAGAAGAAGAAGAAGAAGAAGAAGAAGAAGAAGAAGAAGAAAAACCAGGTTGCTCATGTACACACAAACTCTAGTGCTCACTCGCCATTCCCACAATCATGCTCAAATGAGTGACATCTGCTGATGCTCAGCAAAAAGGTGACGCTGGACCAGCCGTCATTACAGACACAAGAATAGGTTAGTTAGAACTGACACCAGGGTACTGCCCCTTTACCAATTCTCATCATTCACATTTAAAAAAATATTACCACTGTAAAAATCAGCCACTCAATCTCAGGTGCAGAAGATCAATTGAAGAAATTGATACCAGTCAAAGAAAATGTTAAATCTAAAAAGTTCCTGACATAAAACATCCAAGAAAATTGGGACACTATAAAAGACCAATCCTAAGAATAATGGGAAAGGAAGGAGGACTTTACTACCAGTTCCAAGGCACAGAAAATATTTCAATAAAATGATAGAAGAAAACCTCCCCAACCTGGAGAGAGGCCTATAGACATGGAAGAAACTTACAGAACACCAAGTAGATTGGACCAGAAATGAAAACCTCCTGCCACATAATATTAAAAACATTAAATGCACAGAACAAAGAATGAATGTTAAAAGCCACAAGGGGAAAAAAAAAAAGCCATGTAACATATAAAGGCAGACCTATGAGAATTACACCTGACTCTTCAAAGGAGAATCTAAAAGCCAAAAAGGCCTGGTCAGATGCCTTGCAGTCTCTGTGGGGATCACACATGTCAGCACAGACTACAATACCAAGCAAAACTTTTAAACACCATAGATGGAGAAAACAAAATATTCCATGACAAAATAAAATTTAAACAATATCCACAAATCCAGCCCTACAAAAGATATTATAAGAAAAACTCCAACCCAAGAAGGTTAACTAAACCCAATGCAACCCAGAAATTAAGTAAGTCCCACACCAGCAAAACCAAAAGACCCCCCCCCCACACACACACATACACACACGCTACTGCCACCAACATCAAAATAATAGGAATTAGCAATCATTGGTCATTAATATTTCTCAACATCAATGAACTCAATTCCCCAATAAAAAGACACAAACCAACAGAATGAATGCAAAAACAAAATCTATCATTCTCCTGTATACGAAAAAACGCACCTCAGCAACAAAGATAGAATTACCTCAGATTAAAGGGCTGGAAAAAATTTTCCCAAGCAAATGGACCCAAGAAGCAAGCTGCAGTAGCTAGCCATCCTAATATCTAATAAAAAAAAAGAGTTTCAACCAAAATTAATCCAAAGACACAGGGAGGTAAACTATACTCATCAAAGGAAAAATCCACAAAGATGACATCTCAATTCTGAACATCCTTGCCCTAAATGCACGGGCACTCACATTTAGTAAAAGAAACATCACTAAAGCTTAAATCGCACATCAAACCCCACACATTAATAGTGGGAGACTTTAACACCCCACTCTCACCAATGGACAGGTCATCCAGACAGAAACTAAACATAGAAATAATGAAACTAATAGATGTCATAAATCAAATGGACCTAACAGATATTTACAGAACATTTTACTCAAACACAAAAGAATATACCTTTCTTCTCAGTACCTCATGGACCTTTCTCCAAAATTGAGCATATAGTTGGTCACAAAGCAAGCATCAACAGATATAAGAAAACTGAAATAACCTCTTCTATCTTATCAGACCACCATAGTCTAAAGCTGGACCTCAACAACAACAGAAAGCCTACAAACATATGGAAACTGAACAACTCTCTACTCAATGGCTACAGGGTCAGAGGAAAAAAAAATTGAAGACTTTCTAGAATTCAATGAAAATGAAGGCACAACATATGGAAACTTATGGGACTCAATGAAAACAATGCTAAGGTTAGTGTTCATAGCATTAATCGCCTTCATAAAGAATTGGAGCATCCTCATACTGGCAACTTAAAGCACACCTGAAAGCTCTAGAACAAAAAGAAGCAAAAACACACAAGAGGAGTAGATGGCAGGAAATAATCAAACTCAGGGATCAATAAATTAGAAACAAAAGGAACAATACAAAGAATCAATGAAAACACGAGTTGGTTGAGAAAAATCAACAAGATAGAGAAACCCTTAGCCAAACTAACTAAAAGGCAGAGAGACAGTATCCAAATCTACAAAAACAGCAATGAAAAGGGGGACATAACAGACACCAAGGAAATCCAAAAAGTCTTAGGTCTTACTTCAAAAGGCTGTACTCCACAAAATTGGGAAATCTAAATGAAATGGATGATTTTTTGATGACACTACTTATCAAATTTAAATGAAGATCAGGTCAACATTACCAAACTCATTCTATGAAGCCACCCAAAGACCCAACAAAGAAAGAGAATGTCAGACCAATCTCCCTTATGAACATTGATGCAAAAATACTCAATAAAATACTCACAAACCAAATCAACAACACATAAAAACCATCATCCACCATGATCAAGTAGGCTTTATCCCAGGGATGGAAGGATGGTTCAATATATAAAAATCCCATCAATGTAATCTACCAAATAAACAAACTGAAAGAAGAAACCCACATTATAATCTCATTAGATTCTGTAAACGCCTTTGACAAAATCCAACACCCCCTTATGATAAAAGGTTGGAGAGATCGGGGACTCAAGCCACATACCTAGTGTTTGTAAAAATATACAACTTACATTCACAGCCAGGCAGAACAGGAAGTATAAAGACTGGATAGCAACAGGGTACAGGCTATTTTACAATATACCTGTAGGGCTCTGACAAGCATATAGTATTGGATAGGAGTAAAAATATCAATTCAACATGCTAAATAAAGGTGAGATACAAAGTCTAGGAAATACTTAATATGCTACTGTACCTCAAAGAACACCACAGCTGCTCTCTATTGTTCTTACTGTGTTTTCCCATTTGATCCTACTGCCTGAAATCCAGGTAAAGAATCTGCTGACATGCCATTCCATACTCACCTGAAGTTGATGATAAAATTGTATGATCTTTTCTTTCTGAGGTGACCAGTGTTGAAAGCCTAATTGTTCTGTTGCAATAGCGATTGCTTTCTAAAAAGATATAAATATATTAATTTAAAGTGTATTCAGCCTGAGTATGTATGTATGTATGTATGTATATATGTATGTATGTATGTATGTATCTATCTATCTATCTATCTATCTATCTATCTATCTATCTATCATTTATCTATGTATCTATGCACTTATTTACCTATTACAGCCTTGGGATTAGAATCCAGGGCCTTGCACAAACTAGCTTAATGTTCTACCACTGTGCCACACCCACAGCCCAAACCCTTAAATTGTAATCCTTTACAACCTCTTAGTTATTTATTAATTATTGCAGTTTATAAGAGTATTTCTTTATTTTTTTAGTCTACCAATTTCATTGAGAATAATGAAAGCTACCATTTTTTTTCTCACCAGAAATATGTAACACACAGAAAATTTTATGTGCATGTACCTTTGGTACAAATTCACAAACCCTCCCCTCAGACCAGGAATCCTCACTTGCAGATTTATTAATATACCAAATCATATACACAAAACAACAAAAATGAACTCAGCATGTGGTGTTTATGTCGGTGCATATATTTATAACAATAATAAAGAAAAAGAGGCCATCAATTTAAGAGGGAGTTATGTGGGACATATGAGGCACTGGAGGAAAGAAAGGAAAGTGAGGAGTGGTGATGTACTTACATTTTAATTAAAAATATATTTTTAAAAGGGGCTGGAGAGACGGATCAGAGGTGAAGAGCCACAGTCTGCTCTTTCAGAGGACCTGAGTTCAATTCCCAGCAACAACGTGGTGGCTCACAACCATCTATAATAAGATCTGGTGCCCTCTTCTAGTGTGCAAGTATACATGCAGGCAAAACATTGTATATATAATAAATAAATAAATCTTTAAAAATATTTTAAAAGTCGCTACAAGTATTCATTTACCCTACATTAAAATAAAACGTAAAAGGTGATTCTAATCACCATTATGGTAGCTTTTAATTTTGTAATAATGTTTAGGGAATGTTTTAAGACATTAAATCAAACTGATAAGATTGTAAACATGATTTAGTTCCTTAAAATATCTAAAACAGAAAAAAAAAAGAACAAAACCAAAACAACAACAACAAAAAGGTCTGGGAAACCATGTTTTCTTCTAAAGCAGAGTTTATCTCCAGGTAGAGACAACTGGTCAGCATGTCTCCCATCCACTCCTTGCATCTCTATAATGAAGAAGGACAGAGAAGACACTACGCCACTGTACAGGACTACACAGTTGAAAACGGCAGCTCCTAGGTGAGACTGAGTGTTTAAAAGAACCTCACCAACAGAGCTGGATGAGGCTGCTCACCTAAAGCTCCAACCTCAAGCAGTTGAGTCCTTGCGACATTGAGCTGGGTCCAGGGAAGAAATTCCAGGCATAGAATCAGGATCGTATGAGATGCCAATGGGTCACACAGTTATGGTTATTAAGAGATGTCTGGACAACTCTTCCCTACTGGCTACATATCTTAACAGAGTTCTTACTTTGGATCGCTTTTGAATAAATCTATAATCTTGCCCTAAGTTATTCAGAACCATATGTGATAATCCTTGGAGGAAGTTAAAAAGAAAGGGGGGAAGAGAGGAAGGGAGAGAGAAGAAAATTTAAAAGTGGATAAAGAAAGCAGAATTCAAAAGTAAGAGAAATAGCTTAATTTATACCAGATAAAACAAACTTTCAGTCAGAATGAGTAAGCATGTATGATAAAAGGTCAGTTCAGCAAGGTTAAACAATAGGCATAAAGATATTTGTGCCCAATATTGCTGTCTCTAAAACTATAGCATAAATGCCGACTAACTTCAAGGGCGAGGTACGCTCCAACACAGCGACTGTGCAGGACTTTAACATCCTACTTTCAGCAATGAGCACAAAAACTCAGAGGAAGTGAACAAAGAAATGCCAGAGTCAACCTGTACCCTTGACCACAGGTCCCAGCACATGGCAAACTCTCCACATAGGTCTTATAGCTGACCATAAAATAAGCATCAGCAGATTAAAACAAGAGAAACTGAAACCTCACCACGGATCATTTTGACCACAACAGCATAAAATTAGAAAGTAGCCACAAGAGACACTTTGGATACTAAACCAACCCAGGAAGTGAAACAACAGGGTCAGAACAGCCCAGGGGCTGTGTGAATGCACGTGCCAGACAGGGGGCGGGGCATCAGAAGACAACTTGAGGGAGTTACTTCTCTTTTGCTTTCACTGGTAAGATCAGGATCAAACTCAAGTGGTCAGGCTTGATTGCAAGCGTCTCACCTGCTGAACCATCTCGCCAGACAAGAAATTATAAAATTTATTGAGACAAATGATAATGGCAGCACAGTTGGCCGTAAGAAAAAACATTAAATAAATGCAGAAAAAATAAAAATAACGATTAAAAATACAAATGATGACAAAAGTTTTAAATCAGTATGTGTGCAGGGTACATGTGTAGGGAGGGTGTGTGCGTGTGTTCATGTGTACACACTCATGTGGAAGGCAGAAGACAAACTTGGGGTTTGTCCTCAGAAGTGTTGTTCACCTCTCTTGAGACAGGGTCTCTCCTTGGCTGGAGGTCACTAAGTTACTCCAATGACTGGCCAGTGAGTCTCAGGGCCTCCTGTTCCCACCTCTCTAGCAGTGGATTTTAAATATATGCCACCATGCCTAGATTTTTATGTGACTGTGAAGGATCAAACCCAAGTCTTCAGGCTTACAAGGCAAGCACTTTATCAACTGAGCTCTAAAGTTAAAAAGAATCTTCTTTATCTTTAGCTAGATAAAGAAATTAGAAAAATTATTTCAATAAAACTAGAGACCAAAAAGAAGACATTATGATAAATGCCACAACCATAAAGAGGATCATTAGATAAAACTATGAGCAATTGCATGCCAACAAATAAGAAAAACAAGTGAACAAATTTCTGAACATATATAGCTTACCAAGACTGACTAAAGAAAAATGAGATGCCCGAGGAAAGCCATTAAAATAAAGGATGAGATTGAATTAATAATAATATGTTTCTCATTAAAGAAAAGCTCAGGACCAGATGGCTCCCCCACTAAAGTCTATTAAGCATCTAAAGAATCAACACTAATTCTTTTCAAACTCTCTTTTTTTTTTTTTTAAATGTGAAGGGAAAGAACTCTTCCTAGTTCATTGTTTGGTTCCAGCAACATACAAACCACCACAACAGAGAAAAATAAAGTTCAATATAGTTGAGAAATATATTTGCAAAAATCCTAAATAAAATACTAGAAAAATGAAACCCAGCAGCACATTCCAAAGTTGGTTCACCTGTTGAGATTCACTCCCGAGATGCAAGATGCTCGTTCTACAGTACAGAAAACAGCGAACATCCTCACATTACTAGGACAAGGGACAAAGCTGTTACCCCCATAGTCATTTGGGGTAAAAAAAGAATTTGCTTGGAGAAATTTCTAGTCTTATGAATTTCCATTAGTAAGAAAAAAAACTAAATGAATAATAATAATAATAAAAATTTCTAAAAAAGATAGCTCCAGAAGAAGACAGAAAAATATTTCAAACATTAAAAGATGCAGCAAGGCATTTGGAAGCAGAGGCATATTAAATCAAACCCTGGCTAGTTAAGAAACAAAGTGTTAGATAAGACTTCGAGGTAGTCTGAGAAAGAAAGCCCACATTAGGAGATTATGTAACGGGAATAATCTCAAAAGCATGAAATTGAAAGACTCGTAGGAGTGTTTTTCCAATTCTGTACCAATATATTCTAAGATGTGAAATGCAAGTGTCTGCCTAGCTGAACAGGGCAGTTTTAAGGAGAAGCACAGTGATTAAGATTCACTTACTTTTCAGGCCACAGAGAACAATTATGATCATATATCTACTCTGAATGGTTTTTAAGAGAAATTCCTGTGATCCTTTCTACATTAACTATGGTCATGTTTGCCTCATGCTTCATATGTGCTAAAACACAGTATGTTTGTAACTTGTAATTGTTGCATCATGTTAATTACATAGCCTACTGATATATTAAAAACAGCTGTAAAGCTGTTTCTATTGAACTTCCTGAAATAACTAATCAACAAAAAAATACCCGTCAAGTCAGGGCCAAGTCTGGAGAGTCTGGAAGGCTTAGAGATAGGAAGCAGCAGAGGCAGAAAGATAAGGGAGAACAGGAGCAAGTAGAGGCAGGAAGGGCAGAACACGCTGGAAGGATGACCTGCAAGCCAGGTGGAGGAAGCACATTTTTGTCAAAATAATTTTGATTCTGTAGTTAAGGCAATACCAACTGAACACTGGCTTTGCTCATGTTTTAGGGAAGCAACTTGGGACGCCTTGTGGAAACACATAAATTTTCCCAAGAAGAGGGAGTAATCACTGTGATATTACAGTGAAACAGAGTGCCTTCACTTAAGAAGATGTAGCCCATGGGTAGCTCAGCCTGCATGTGGGTGTCCCAGTAAGGGGAGCAGGGGCTGTCTCTGACATGGACTCAGTTGCTGGCTTTTTGATCACCTCCTCCTGGTGAGGTGGCCTAACTAGGCCACAGAGAAAGAGGATCCAGGCAGTCCTGATGAGACCTGATAGGCTAGGGTGTGATAGTAGGGAAGGAAGACCTCTCTGCTATCAGTGGACTAGGGAAGCGACATGGCAGGGAAGGAAGGAAAGGAGGGAGGGGAGGACCAGGAGGAGATGAGAAAAAGAGTACTCAGCACACAGCACTCCAATGCGCTGGCTGTTCTTTCCATGAGTCTCAGTGTGCTTAAGACTCCTTCCCTTCCCCCGGGAAAGCTATGCCTGCAAGGGCTTTTATGCCATCATCCTGTAATGTTCTCCATATGAGTATAGAGCATTTCCGAAAAGCCGTTGTATTTAAAGCCACACCTCTTTCACCTGCAAATGACCTGGCAGTGTTTCCCATGGTCCAATTACCTCCAAGGCAAAGTGATGCACTTTTGAAACTGTTATTCCAGGAAAAACATCTTCTATGATCTTTTCAAAAGTCGGGACATCTTCAGGAAGAAGCTTTGATAAAGTAGCTTCTTGAATGGCCTCAATGATGACCAGGGATTCCTCATTTTCTGAGAGATTCTTGCTGGCGCCACTGCAGCAGTGGAAGAAACAGACATGAATGATCAGAAACCTGCCCTGCGGATGCTAATCACAGCTCGTGAGCATTTTTCTTGTCTTTTATTTTTATCATACTTTCTAAAAATGTTGAGATTATAATAGAATTGCATCATTTCTGAAGTTCCCCTTTCCTCCCTCCAAAACCTCCCATGCCTTTGCTTGCTACATAAAAGCTTTGGGAAATTCCTCTAAGGAATACAAGGGAGGAAGCTGCCTGTATAGGGAGGAAAAACTACATCTCCCCAGAGATATACTCGGTTCTTAATCCTCAGAATCGCCAAATACTCTCTCTTTAACATGGTAAAGAAATGAGATTTCCCTGATGGTAATATATATATATAAAATTCTTTTTTTTTCATTTAGGGAAGATTTTTATTGTATATTCAAAGTCTTTAAGGAAAAAAGGAATTTCTAAGTTATTTCTCCCTTGTTCTCCATTTTGTGAAAATGTAATTGTTGTATATGTTAAGTACACATGGACCTGTGTTTCACAGATAAGTTTACATGAGTGTATAATGCACATATAATCTACAATAGTAAACATACGCACATATACCCATACTATGTAATGTATGTTGAGGTTGTCCTTCCCATAGCCCTTCTCTCCTTTCGGTTAGTCCCCTTCACTCTTCTACAGGGTTTTGCGTCTACTTTTATGTCATATAATGCACATAATTTTATGCATCTATGTGAAGTCTAAGAACTACAAATGAAAGAAAGTATGCCGTTTGTCTTTCTTTCTGAGATTGGCCCCTGCTTGCCTGATTGGACTTGAACCATGCCCTGATTTTCAAGAGGAGTTTGCCCTAGACCACCCAGGTCTGAATGTGACCACCGTTACATGCAGCATGAGCCGCAACTACTGTCTGTCCTAGTTTGCCATATTTTCAGGTCCACAGAATTCATTTTGAACTTTTCCTTATATGGTCACCTTTAAGTTGTTTGAGATAAGTACAGCTTTATGTATTACAAATACTATAATATTTTCTTTTGTCAATTCTAGATTTTTTTAAAAATGTGTATGCATGCTTTGCCTGCATGTGTATCTGTGTGGGGGTGTCAGATTCCATGGAACTGTAGTTACAGACAGTTGTGAGCCACCACATAGGTGCTGGGAATTGAACCCAGGTCCTCTAGAAGAGCAGCCAGTTCTCTTAACCACTAAGCCATCTTTCCAACCCCTGTGGATTCTAGATTTTGAGTTTTGGTTTTAAAAGTCATATGAGGCCTGTGATAGGCAGTGTCAATTGTCAATTTAGTAGAATTTAGAATTTCTAGACTTAACTCTGCTAGGAAGACCCATTCTAAATGTGGGTGACCCCATCCTGTAGGGGTTCTGTAGTGGATGAAAAGGAGATGGGGAGCTGAGCTTCCTCAATGCAGACAAAATGCTCTCAGCCTCTTTAAGCTCCTGCAGCCACAACCCTTTTCTTCTTGGTCAGGAATTTTGCCATGGAAATGAGTAAATCACTAATAGAAGGCCCTAGGTTAATCCCCACCACGGGAGACGAGTCTGCTGTACTCCAGGAACACAGGAGACAATTTTCTCCTTCTGATGGTTTTTGGTTATTTTAGAGCTTGTCTTGGTAAGTGAAGTGGCACAGGGCGTCTATCTGACCGTCCTGCAGGTTGGTGCTGCTTTCCATTCTAAAGTGCCCTCTATAGGCACCAAGGTCTGTGGCGGCTCGAGTCCCTTACACAAAAGGCTATGTTTGTCCATCGTCTACACAACCTTCTCTCATAGCCTGAATCATCTCTAGATTACCCACAGTGCCTAATATGACATTCATACTGTATGACTAGCAATGCTCTGTTAATTACAGACGCAACAAGAAAAACTCCGTGCCTGTTTTACGCAGGTACATTTTATATTTCTCATTAAGTTATTTCTCTTCTAGATGGGCCCTTCATTTCTCTGGTATGTTTTATTACTCTTGAGTGACACACTTTTAAGAGAACGGGCTTTACTAAGGATCTGGAGCCCATGATCTGGTGCATTTTCCCCTTTGACCCTGCAAGCGGCTGGCAGTTCATCTTGCTGCAGTGCTCTGGCAGCCTCCTGCATTAGCTTGACCTCCTTACTTAAAGTTCCGGAAATCGTTAACACGGCGGTACAAGCTATCTGAACCTACCACTAAATCCAAAATTCAACTGACCGTTTATGTTCTTGTTTCTTCTTCTCTGACATTATTAACACTGTCTTCATGGTCTTCATGCCAAAATCATAATGATCCTAAAATACGGTATTCAAAATTTGAGTCACTCACAGTTCTCAAGGAAAACAAAATCATTTAAAACAATCACATAAGCATATACATTAGTAACTCTTTATATATTTTTATTTTTTTGGCTTTTTCAGGCAGTGTTTCTCTGTGCAGTCCTGGCTGTTCTGGAACTTAGTCTGTAGAACAGTCTGGCCTGAACTCATAGAAATCCACTTGCCTCTGCCTCCTGAGTGCTGGGATTAAAGGCGTGGGCTGCCACTACTGCCAGGCTTGTAGGCATGTATTCTAGAAAAGGAGGTATCTACACAAATCCAGAGACCCCAGTTATATTTATATATTTGGAGAGAGGCAGTTCCTCACCTGTGTTGAGAGCTGCTTGTCAGCTAAATCGTAAAGGTTAACTAGCTTTCCAGACAGTGATCTTGCACATTTGAAGCCAAATAAAAACAGAATTACTTCAATGATCATTTTATAGTGTGGCACCATCATCGCCACTGGGCGAAACAGAGATTTCAAGTTAGTCGGGAGCTCAACTCGACCTCTATATCTAGAGAGGAAAAGAAAAACAGCAACAACAATAATAAAAATCCCACCATGCTTTGCAAGTTTTCAAATTTGACAGTATGTTGCTTTGCTCCCAAATAATTCTATTGGCTTTTTGTGTGTTCCGTGTGTGAAAATTCATTTACAAGGTGGTTTTTACCGTTCATCCTGTGAACACGCTGGTCTATCAATCCCTGCGTCTCACCATAATGCCCACCTCAGCTCAGCCCTTCTGATTCCTTGGACTACTGCAGTGTTTGTTCAGATGTCTGACGAACCTAGCCTTAAATCCACAGGGCTGTGCAAGTGCCACAGGACAGAACTCATACATGGCCACTCTGAGGGCCAAGAACCTATGGCTGGACAGGTGACCAGCCCGGCGGAGCTGATCACAATTACTCTACGCACTATTAAACTGACTCTTCATGACTCATCTGTATAGATTACTGCATTTTTACCCTGAGAAGGCAGAGAGGCTTCTTTAACAGTTGATGGTGATGGACACAGAGACTGACCGCTGGTCAAGCTGCAGAGGATGAGAGGCTGCAGGGGATGAGAGGCTGCAGAGGGCTCAGCTAACGGTGGACATCAGTTATCACCCATCCCACCCCACCCCGCCAAGGCTTGGGGACCACTGTGGAAGAGCAGGTGGCATGACTGCCAGAAGCTGGGGTAGTCAGTGATGACAGCGAAGCAGTATTTTACAAGGTGCTCATGAGAGAAAAGGGAAAAAATATTCTTTTGAACTAATTTTCACATAAGGGTAACACAGAAAGTCAACAAAATTATTTTCGGGGGGGGGGGATGCCTATGGTTTTGAAAATCTGGACACAACAGGGAAGTTGAACCCATAAACTCCCGCTGGTTGTGACTGCATCGATGTTTTAAAACCTGTCTAAGATCAAACCAAATAAAATCCCATCATGGCCAGGGGAGGTGGCTACCGGGTCCCATGCCTGTTGGGGAAGGTATTGGGAATTGACAGCTGCTGTGGGAGGGAGACTTGGTTTTCTTTAATGGTGTGGCCCCTGGTAGGTTGACTTATGCTTCGCAGTTAATGTGGGTATAGAATGAGGGGTGGATCTAGGCACAGTTAGGGTGAGGGAGGTGAATATAAGCAAAATACAATTATAAAATTTTCAAAGAAATAGTTAAAAAAAAAAGAGTCTGGACAGTGAACCCCCCCCCCCCCCCCCGGTAAGAATAAAGAAAGGATTTTAGTCTGCGTTTACTCCCATTAGATTCATTAAAACTCACCGGGGATTGATGGTGATGAGCACTGCACAGGACATGTTGATGCGTATTTCCTTACCGTCCAGGAAAAACCTAAAAGGCGGTAAAGCATTCATCACTAAAATCACTCCTGCATATGCCCAAGGGTTTAACACTATAACAAATCAAGCGATTTTCTTATGGCTCCTTTGAATTTAAATCCAAACAAAACATACTTAAAACAACACTGAAGGAGGAAGAGGCTTATTCTGAGCCAAAGTTGAGTTCTACTGGGATCCAGGTATAGTTGATCGTACGTAACGATGACTGAGAAGCTTTTGGGACTGGATACCCGGTGGAAGGCACCCTCAGGTGAGCTGATTCACAGCAGGAAGAGACCCTGGGAAGGCTTCATGAGCTGAGCCTGGAACAGTGCTCCTAGCACAGAGCTCCTGCGTGGGACACAGCCCAGCCTCAGCCTCCCTTGCTCCAGTTACGACGTACTGGGACTCGATGCTGGAGAGACGACCAGGCACAGGCTGCTCTTCCTACAGACCCAGACTTGCTTCCCAGCACCCGTGTGGTGGCTCCCAGGGGTCTGTAATTTCAGTTTGAGGGGATTCGATGCCTGTCCTGCACAGACACGTATGTAGGCAAACACCCATAAAATAATAATAAAATCTCAAAAATTAAAAAAAAAAATTCTTGGGCACCTGTGAGGCATATGCTCTGCCAGTGTCCTGTCACTGGCTCCACTGCCAGGGACAATGGCAAGAGTGATATCTTACTGAACAGGGTAGTTAAAACATGAGAGACAGGAAAAATAGGACAAAGCCAGGATAGTACCTGGGTGCCATGTTTTGCTGAGGTTAACGCCCAGAGACGGGAGGTAAAATGTGGAGTTACTACGCCCCCTTCTTTATCCACAGACCTGTAAGCCCTGGTTACTAACAGTGAAATCCATCTGAATAAAGCCAGCGTTACCATCCAGCAGCATGAATTAGACATTTTACATCACTAAGGATCCATTTGTGTCCCTAAACTTGTAAGCTCCTAGATGCATCTGAAGGAAAAATGTGATCAGTATTAATAAACAGCAATAACCAGAACACACATATACTGTGTTGTGGTTTAAAAAGCACCTCAATTTACAACGGTGAGACAGGGGGCTTCAGAAGCATAGCTAGTATTTTTAATTTTTAAATGAGTATAGAATTAAAATATATGTGTGTGTATATATATATATATATATACACACACACACATATATATATCTGTGAAGAATTATTTTTATGTTTTATTTTGTTTCATTATTATTTTGCTTTATTTTTTTAAGTGTAATATCCTAAGATGAAAAAGATTCTAAGAGAGAAAAAGTAACTGGAATACATGTGTCCAGGTCTGGTGGCTTCTGGCTGCTCCAATGTGTAAAAGAAGGGTGAATACCTTTAAACTGGCATTATAATTGAGATCTCTTCTCTCTCTCTCTCTCACACACACACACACACTCACACACACACTCTTTCACATTGTTTGCTAGAGAAAACATTCAAGGCAAGTGTCATTCATTTTGCTATGCTCTAAACAAAACAAACAAACAAACAAACAAACAAAAAACAACTAAAGAGCCAGCACTTATGTAAGAAAAGTACTAAGCACTAATTAAACAGTAAACGCATATCAGATTGTCATTCCAAAGGTGTGACCCTTGACCGAATACCTCACAGAATAGCTGTCTTTCGCAATCTTGATTGTCAGGATCTGGGAGGCGAGGACGGAGAGGACTTCTATATCGATCCTGTTGAATTCATCAAAACAGCACCAAGCTCCTGACTGCACCAACCCGAAGAATAATTTCCCCATTATCTTAGAAAAGAAAACAAAAGGGATCGATTACAGAAACTATAAATGGGAACATTTCCACCTGGATACAAATTTGTGTGGGTTCTTCTCAACTAACCCAAACCAAACAAACATCTTTTGCATTTGTCTCTCTATAGGAAGTTTAGCAGTTGCTTAGACCCTGGGTGAGCTCACTGCTCTTTTTGAAAACTTAAACACAAATAGCAAACGCCTGCATTCTAGGACCACTGGCAAGTGTGGCTGACAGCTAACTGCACAAAGCTGTTTAGGGCTCCCCTGCATCCCAGGGGAGTCTTTAGGACCATTTTGCAGCAGAAGGGAGTCAAGCGGCAGAAGGCAGATGTCCTTCTCTGGAGCGGGCAGACCCCTTGTGCTTCAGCTTGGGCTACAGGTGAGGCAAATGGTGAGGGGTTCGGGTGGGGGGTGGAGGGGATTACACATGGTTCCTAGGAGCTTCTAAGCAGATGTTGTTGAAACACAGTTGCAGCCTGTTAAAAGCCCTTTTAGTGTCAAAGATGAATTTTTAAAGATCTTATTGTAAGCCTTCCTTCTGACATTCCTTTTCCTGTAGATAAGTTGATGGAAGATGGGGCAATCTGACTCTCTACTGGCACCTGTTGAACTCTTCCTTGCTGTCCCAGCAGTGCTTGCAGTAAAAGGACTCCGTTAGCTGCACCCCAGATGTCTTGAGGATGGCATGGGTGCTTTGAAAAAAACCACAACACAACTGTAGCTAAGTGCAGCAGCTTTTGATGCCACAGACTCTGGAGATGTTTAGAAGTTTTTGCCATTTTTTTAAAAAAAAATTATCATAAGACTTTGTGAACTCTAACAATTTCCACTGAGGCCATAGGTGAATGTTCCATTGACAACCTAGCAGAAGAACTGCTCTGATGGATACTGAAAAGGCAAGCATGTGACTGGTCCACGCAGAAACCTCTATGGCTTTGACTGACGCCAAAGGCAAGGCCTAAACACTCCTTCCAGAGAGATGCAGAAAGTCGGATCTTATCTTTAAGTGTTGGTATCTTGTTCACCATGGAATATTTTGGGGGACTGATAAACATGTAAAATAAGTTGCAGAGTTGGGGATGTGGCTCAGTTTGGGAGCACTGCTTGCTGTGAGGGAGCTGGGCTCAGCGCTAGGAAACAAAACCCCAACACTGTAGTGCTTGGAGAATCTGAGTTAAATGTGTCACACCTACATAGGGGAACATCATTTTAATAAAAATATTTCAAGATTTTATTAGACATGTCTTAGACAATTATCATTATTACTTTTATAATTGTTTTTATGTTAATCATTGTCGCCTCTTTGACTTTAATAATTAATTCTCAGCAAATAAATCTTCAGGATAAGGACATTTACAAAATTTGTATTAATAAAGACATACCTTCAATTATCTATCTATCTATAGATATAGAGATATATTCATGCTTTTTGCATGTAAGATTTTGTTTAAAAAGAATTCCAGCCAGGTGTGGTGGCACATGCCTTTAATTCCAGAACTGAGGGAGGAAGAGGAGGGCAGATGGCTGTGAGTTTGAGGCCAGCCTGGTCTACAAAGCTAGTTCAGGACAACCAAGGCTATACAGAAAAACCCTTGAAAAAACAAACAAACAAATCCCATTGTCATAAAAATTGAGAATTATTGCTTTAAGGAATTCAGATGAACCATTTAAAAGAAAAATTAACACATAACATTTTAATTTTCATCTAGGCTCTATGTTTCCATCTCTACTCATAAAAGAATGAATAATATTTATAGTCTTATCAATACATACTTTATATTTTTTCTTATTTTTTCATTTCTCAATGAATTACTTTACATGAACATTTTAAAAGTAAATACGCTTAAGATTTACCTTATAATCCAAATCTTCAAAACAGTTGAAGACGACACAATGTTTACCAAAGCTCTGGGAAACAAAAATACTGTTTTTAATATGGTTCTTGAGTGAAGCTAAAACATAAAGATGCTTAGAATGCCAGAGTAAGAAAATATTTCTATTAAGCTTTTGAGAAAAATTATAGCATAAAAAATGAGTTAGATTCAAGTCTGAAGAGCCACAGAACTAATGTGTTTGCGTGAGCATATGCTGCCGTAGGAGAGCTGATTAGTTTATAGAGCTTTAGGTCATGATTTACACACCACCACCACCATCACCAAGAGGAAACAAAAAAATCAAACCAAACTCACAGACCAGGGCGAGAAACTATTGCCCCCACCCCCACTATTAATCAGCTAGCTCATACAGTAGCATTCCAGGTAAATGGCGCAGTGAGATCCCAAGTCCCTTCAAAAGTTAATTGATGGAGTGTATCACTTAATGAATGCATTGGTAAATACAAAGAGTATTTTAAAAGCAGGAATAATGTAAACTTAAGATACAATTAAAGTCTGTATGACAGAAATTCTGGATACAATAGCTACTTACTTTCGCTAGGTCTTTGACAGTCTCAGTTTTGCCCACGCCTGCGGGCCCCACAAGGCAGCCTCCCAGGTTGAAGTACAGAGCCATAGAGAGAGTTAGCCAGCACCGTTCCGTGAGAGGGGTGATCACCAGCCTTGGGGAACAGCCCAAGTACTCATAGCCATAAGCAAAACTGGTTTTTCCTTGAGTTATGTAACACAACTTTTGCTTGTCATCCCATTTATATTGCAAATGTCTGAAAGGAATACTCATATATTAGTTGAGTGAAAATATTTTTACATATGGAAACATAATCATTTTAAAACAATTTAAACAGACCTATAACCCCCCATGTAATTAAAAATCCCCCAGCCAAAAAGAAAACCCAGGACCAGAAAAATTCAGAGCAGAATTCTACCAGACCTTCAAAGAAGAACTAATGCTAATACTTCTCAAATTATTCCACAAAATAAAACTGATGGAACATTTCTAAATTCTTTTTATGAAGCTACTATTGCCTTGATAGCAAAACCATACATGGATTAAACAATAAAGAAGAGTATAGGCCAGGCAGACATGGTGCATATCTCTAATCCCAGCACTTGGGAGGCAGAGGCAGGTGGATCTTTGTGAGTTTGAGCCCAGTCTGGTCTACAGAGTGAGTTCCAGGACAGCCAGAGCTACACAGAGAAACCTTCTCTCAAAAATAAACAAAAAAAATCAAAGAAATCTATAGACTGATATCCCTTATGAAAATAGATGCAAAAATTCTAAATAAAATTCTTGTAAACCAATTTCAAGAAGACATCAGGAAGTGTTATCCACTGTGACCAAGCTGGCTTCATTTTAGAGACACAGGGACAGTACAACATGCCTAAATTAATAAATGTAGCCCATTAAACAGATAAAAAGACAAAAAAACATGGTCATCTCATTAGATACAGAAAATTCCTTGTCAAAATACAATACCTCTCCATGGTATATTATTACAAGGCATACTTAAAAAAAAAATAAGGTTAGTTAATATCAAGCCAACAGCTACCATCTTCCTAAAGGGAGAAAAATTCAAAGCATTTCTACTAAAGTCAGGAACAGGACAAGACTGTCTGCTCTCTCCATATCTAGTCAATTCAGCTCTTAGGGTCTTAGCTGGGGCAATAGGACAACAGAAGGTGTAGTGAAGCCCTTTTGCCCTTTTTTTTTTTTTAATGTTATGTGACTATGTTTTTGTTTTACTCTCAGGTGTGAGATATGGGGCTGCTTCAGAGTGTCCACAGCAGCTGACTATGATTTGCCTCATGCTCTAGCAAGGGCCTGATTTTACCAGCTGAAGAGAGTTTATGTTTGGAATTCTGGGGACTCTTCAGAGGATAATAATGCTAAAGTCCCAGAGGAGCTCCTGTGGCTGCCGCCCCTGCTGCTGCTTTTGCTGGATTACTGGATTGCTGCTTGGAGATATCCTGATGATGAAGACTGGACTTGCCACAAGGAACTCAGCAGGAAGTAGTCTAAAGAGATCTCCATCCCCTTTCCCCTCGAACCTTCTTTCTTGCCTATCTAGTGTTGGAGGGTTGGAAGGGATTGAGGAGGAGAAAGGTGGTAGATTTAAGAACCCATAATAAGCCTGGATACAGGAAGGAGATCAAAAAGATATAAATAGGAAAAGAAGAAGTAAAAAAAAATCCTTAATTGTAGATTATATGATTGTATACATAAAAGACCCTAAAGAATCTATTAGGAAATGTCTGCAGTGGATACAGTTTTAGCAAAGCAGCAGGATACAAAATTAACTCACAAAATCCAGTGGCCTTCTTATTATAAATGACAAATAGAATGATAAAGAAATCAGAGAAACAACACCTTTCACAATAGCCTCAAAAATATCTTGGGATAACTCTGACCAAGCAAGTGAAAGACTTGTAGAATACAAACTTTTAAGACACTGAAGACGATATCAAAAGTCAGAAAGATCTTCCATGCTCATAGATCAATCAGCAGGATTACTATTGTAAAATGGACTAAAAGCAACCCTCAAATACTCCTCAAACTATTCTGCAAAATAGAAACTGGAGAAACATTTTCAAATTCTTTTTTTTGAAGCTAGTATTATCCTGAGTTTGTCACTTAATTTTGTACCCTGCTACTTTGCTGGAAGTGTTTTATTGGCTGTAGACGTTTCCTGGTGGAGTCTTTAGGGCCTTTTATGCATAAAATCATAAAAGAAATTTACAGGCTCACTGAATTCATCATAAAAATTCAACACAGTTCCTCACAGAAACTGAAAACAAACAAACAACAGCAACAAAACAACCTTCAGCTTCATCTGGAGAGCCAAAGCGGTCCTGAAAAAAAAAAGAAAGAAACAACTGGAGCGCCATTATCATCACAACTTCAAGTTTACTTCAGAGCTGTAGTAATGAGGACAGAATGATACTGGCATAAAAACAGACACATCGGTCACTGGGATGGATCTGGAGTAAAGTCCACACACCTGCAGCCAAGATTACACACTGGAGAAAAGATAGCATTTTCAACAAATGGCGCTGCTCGGATCGGATGACTGCATGTAGAATTAAAACAGATCCTTATCCTTCACCCTGCACAGTGGGTCCAGGCCAGTACCCTGAATCTGACGGAGCTGACAGTAAAGCACTGGCTTGAATTCATTGGCATAGAAAGGGATTTTCTGAATAGGACACCGAGAGCACAGGCGTTATGGCCAACAGTTAACAAATAAGACCTTATGAAGCCAAAAAGCTTCATTGTTTGAGCAAAGCGGCAATCTACAGAATGGAAACACCTTTACCAATTATACGTCTGACAGAGAATCTCGAATATTAAAAAACAAAATGGAACCTCAAGAAAACACTGCTCATTTAAAAATGGGATATAGAACTAGACACTGAGTTCTTAAAAGATGATGCACACTTCTTTCATAAGACTCCCTGCACTCTGCCCAAAGGCTGGCCATAAGTCTCAGCATCTGCTTTGATACCCTGCAGGGTAGAGCCTTTCAGAGGCCCTCTGTGGCAGGCTCCTGTCCTGTTCCCTGTTTTCTCCTTCTGTTGTCCATCCTCTTTGCCTTTCTGAATGGGGATTGAGCATTTTAGCCAGAATCCCTCCCTTCTTGATTAGTTTCTTTACCTGGAGGGAACAGGAACTCCACAAGGAGAGCAACGGAACCAAAAAAATCTGGGCACAGGGGTCTTTTCTGAGACTGATACTCCAAATAAGGACCATGCTTGGAGATAAACTAGAACCCCTACAAAGATGTAGCCCATGGCAGTTCAGTGTCCGAGTGGGTTCCATAGTAATGGGAACAGGGACTGCCTCTGACATTAACTGATTGGCCTGCTCTTTGATCATCTCCCCCTGAGGGGGGAGCAGCCTTACCAGGCCACAGAGGAAGACAATGCAGCCAGTCCTGATGAGACTTGATAGACTAGGATCAGAAGGAAGGAAAAGAAGACCTCCCCTACCAGCGGACTTGGGGAGGGGCATGAGTAAGAGGAGGAGGAGGAAGGGAGGGATTGGTAGGGGAAGAGGGAGGGAACTATGGGGTGGGGGAATAAAAAGAAACAGTGTCTTGCAGGCACAGCAGGACTGATAACATATGAACTCACAGAGACTGTGGCAGCATGCACAGGACTGTACAGGCTCAAACCAGACAAACCCCAGCACTGAGAGGGGCAAGTGAACACAAAGTCCCAGCCCTAACCATGAAGCTATTTGACTGATACCTCTAAGAAAGGGGGACAAAAATCACTTTTCTCCAATGGAATTACACTGAGTACATCAACCGCACTTGAGGGCAGGCTCTGTGCACATGATGAAATCCCTATTTTTATGTGCTTTTTGTTTTGTTATTTTGTCTTATTGGTTTTCGTTTGCTTACTTTGAGTTTTGTTTTTGGTTCTTTTTTTGAGAGAGAGAAAGAACATAGGGTAGGGAAGTGGGGAGGTTATGGGGGAGGAAAAGAATGTGATCAAAATATAGTGCATAAAAATAATAAAGCAAACAAATCAAAGTGCTAAAATAAGTGGGAATTTAAAATTTACTCTTGACTGTATTAGATGCTACAAATCATAAGGTACAAACTTATGAGAATCTAATAATCCTTATGCATCTTTAACAGTTTAGAGCTGTGTTGCTTTTGAACCACAAATGGTCGCTGATATAATCCAGAATTATTAGGATCCTTGCACAGCTACTTGGCTCCGACATCGAGTGTTCTTCTTCCCCCATTACACTTGGAATGTCTACTGTGGAGTTGTTTGTGCGCCCTTATTTACCCCTCTAAATCCCTTCGAGAACAATGGAGATTGTAAAGAAATTAAAAACACTGAGTCTCTTTTCAAAATGACATTTAAGATAAAAGCAATTTAAAACGCTCTATATGCGGCCACCTTGCAAACTCTGAGATGAGAGGGCACATGGCAAAGAGGCAAAACCAGGAAGCCTTTTCATTTCCTGCACGAGACTTGTGCTCAGTCTTGCCCAGCAGAGGTAGCAGCCTTCTCTGGCCCTTCACACTTCACTGACTGACTCCAAGCAAGAGGAAAAGAGTTTCTGAGTTGGCAAGTTGGCTATCGACATGTTCTTCTGTGTGTTCTCTTTTACCTTGTCTGCTCCACCCTGGCAGCACAGGAGAAAAAGAGGCACCAGGGAGACCTCTCACTGTGCTACTGAAACTTGTTTCCAGGCTGAGCGACAACAGACGGACAAACATGTGAATTTACAGGTGAGAATGTGTGGCGCGGCTGAGTTTTCAGCCCCTACCTCGTCCACTCGAAGTCCTCCTCACTGGAGATGTCCTTAGCTAGCAGATCTGTCGTGATGTCTCTGCAGTGGACATAGATGGTCATCATTGCCAACAGCATGCTCCTTACACGCTGGTTGCTGAGATTCAGTGCGACCAGCCCTGCCATGTCGTCCATATGGCCCAGCACCTGGGCGTGGACTGCCTCTAGCTTTTCTCTTGAATTAGAACTCATGAGAGCTTTCGTACCCTCGTTATAAAACATGATCTGACTCTGGGAAAAAAGGGGGGGAGGGGAATCCACGTTGATAAAAGCATACAATTTCATTTTCAGTTAGTATTTGTGTCCATGCACTGAATGTGTTGTGGGCATTTTGAAGCGACCGGTGTGTGAAGAGAAACACATACACATTTGAAAGCTGAAGTCTGCGTTTTGATTGATGCTTATGACTTATGTTTTCTAAGTTTTATGTTTTTGAAACTGTGGTTTACTTTGGATGGCTTCATATATGTACATATTGAATTATAGACATCTGACCTCCCAGTACCCTTTCTTCCCAATCCCTTCCCGTTAAAGCCCTTCTTCTCCCCCCAGAAGCCCCATCCCTACTTTCATGTTTGTGTGCCTGTGTGTCCCACTGGATTTATTTGGGGTTGTTTGCAGGAGTGCTGGTGTGGTGCTCAGTCCTAACTGTGTCATCTAAGTCACCGGCTCCAAGGCACAGGGAGCGTCAAGGAAGGAATGCAGATGGTGCAAGAAGCAGAGGCTGCGGAGGTGGGCTGCAAAAAACATGCCTTCTAAACATGGCATGGCCTTGCACTCACAAACCTACTGCATCGCTGCAGCTATGGCTCTCTGTCCAAGATCACCTCCTCCAAGCCTGTGCTCATAAACATTTCGTCATGGAAAGGGGCAGGGCTCAGGAGGACCCATCCCTCCCCAGGGGCTCCTGACAGTTAAGGGTGGTTAGAGGAAAGGGTGTCAACTTTCTTTACCTGTAGAGCCATTATCAATGCTCCAGGAAATAAATTTTATGTTCATTTTGCTGTTGTTTGTTTTCTCTTGAGACAGGGTTTCTCTGTGTAATGGGGCCCTGGCTGTCCGGGACTCACTTTGGAGACCAGGGTAGCCTAAACTCACAGAGATCTCACTGCCTCTGCCTTCCGAGTGCTGGGATTAAAGGCATGTGCCACCATGCCCGGCAAATTTTATGTTCTTAATACATGATCATTAAATTAAAACCTGAGCACATTAACAATGGCCCCACCCCAAGATTAGTGTTTTCTCCACGAGAGTCTAATGTGTATATTTGCACATAATGTGTACAAAATGTGGATATTTGTAGTTTTTAAAATATAACTTCTATTATCTGATTCATCTGTCACATTTATTCTTCCCAGATATATGAGAGCTGTACAAAGAGGCTGGCTTAAAATCAGGTTGCCTGTGGAAGTTAAAAGAAGGAAATCGAGGGGCCAAGATGGCGGCACCGGGAGAACACCGTGTCTGAGAAGCGGGGACAACACACTCCGTGCAGCAACCAGGAGACTGAACTCTGGGCCCTAAAACAACAGCTATCGTGTTTCCCAGGTGAGGGGAGGCTCTCATGGCATGGGAATCGGTTGGGTCCACTCTCGGCTGCCTAGCCAGAACCCGGAAGAGAACCCGGCTAACGAGGGCTTTGGGTCTCCGGGCTGGTGCCGCAAGCCTGCTTGTCCCGATCACTTCCCCAGGCTGATCGGTGGGCACAAGGGTGCCTGAGGCTGGGAGTCCCAGTTGCAAAAAAACCCCATGGGGAAGGAAAGTTGCCAGACTGGTCACGGGTCACCCAGTCTTTCCCTGGAAAGTCTCTCCGACCACGGGTACCCGCCGCCATCACAATTGAGCTCCCGCTGCACATGGATTGCAGCTGCGCGCCCAGCTCAAAATCCCTACTCCCTCTTCGGAGGAGGCAGGAGGCATCCAGCAGAATCTGCCACAGACCACATTGTCTGTACCCCAACCCAAGATCGGGGCTGAGAAAACCCAATCCTTTCTGGCACTCCCCCAAACGCCGCCATAACCCTGCCACAGCGGAGCAGAAGGATAAAGAGGTGCACAGCGGCTTCACAGTGCCAGAACTCCAGTGATGCTGGCTGCTCCTAGCAAACAAACTACAGCTCGGGATCTGGGACTGTGGTCATTCTACACGTCCTGAGATTATCCTGGGTCCAGTGCAATAAGGTCTAGCAGCAAGTTCTATCACTGGCGCCCCCCCCCACCTGACCCCTGGCAGAGAAACGCCGGCCCAGGGCTCAGGACCCGACTGAGAAGCCCCAACCCCTGCTGGCACTCCCCTGAGAGCACCTCCATAAGCTTGCCCTAGCAGAGGGGAAGGTCAGAGGGGAAGGACAGAGAGGCAGCCTGCCAAGGACACAGCACCCTCTCTCCAGCTCACCCAGTGGCCCCTAGCAGAGAAACCCAAGCTCTGGATCTGAGGACACTCAACCCTACCCAGTACTCTCTTGGGATCAGCAAACATAGATTCTACCGCTAGGCTGCTTCTGGCAGAGAGATCTGGGCCCGGGATCTGGGATTGAGTACACTCATCCTAACTCTTTCCTGAGCCACCCAGGGACCAGTCAACATAACCCCTCCTGGCAGAGGGAAAGGACAAAGAGGCAGCACACAGGAAAGGTGGACACCGAGTCCTGCGGCCACAGTGTCACAGAGCTGACTGTTAGCCTATCTGTGCACTTCCGCAGCAGGACCAAAACAGAGAGTAGTGAGCAAGGGGAACCCCTGTGCATTCCAACTGGTCCTGCAAGAGAGTGAGTGAGCCTTCTAGGGAGAGATTGCCCCAGACCCAGGGCCTCTCCACAGAAGCAATCAGACGAGATCCCTGCCACCCACACCCCTAGTGTGGGCATCATAGGGATTCTTGGGATAGCGACCCCAACATTGAAGCCTCTGCCTTGTGGGTCCACCAGGGTAATCCAGGCAAACAATCCCTGGATCTCAGTCAGAGCTGCGTAATAGTGGCTTGCAGGCCACTGCAATAGTCAGAGAATCCGCGCATGCACACTGCGCCCGCTAAAAGCGCACTTGAATAGCGCCAGCGTCACATTCCTTACTTAGGCAAAACTGAAAACACAGTGCACACTCCCAAAGCAGTGAACCTCTCTCATCTTCCAGAAAAAACAGTCCAGAAAACAGAAAGAGAGGATCATAGCACAAACTACAATCTCGAGGAACAACCAGTGAGGATTATAAATAACCAGATGGCTAGAGGCAGACGTAAGAACACTCCCAACAAAAATCAGGACATAATGACCTCACCAGCAACCCCACAAAACAATGGACACTTCAATTCACTAGATATACAAGAAAACGACCTCAAAACTATGTTTCTCCAGCTATTAGAGGCCCATAAAGATGAAATGAACAAAGCCCTCAGAGAAATAACCAAAGAAATCGAGACTAACCAAGAGGAAACAAATCGTGCTCTCAGAGAAATGACCACGAAAATTGAGGCAAACAGAGAAGAAATGCACAAAGCTCTCAAAGAAATGTCCACACAAATGAAGGCAAATAAAGAAGAAATAAACAAAGCTCTCATAGAAATACAGGCAATTATACCCAAAGAAGTAGAGGCACAATTAGTGATACATAGAGAGGAAACGGACAAAAAAATAGAAGCTATCATTGAAAAGCAGGAGTCCACATTCAAACAGATGAAGGAAATGGTGCAAGACATGAAAACAGAATTAGAATCAATAAAGAAAACACAAATAGAGAAAAACCAGGAGCTGGAGAACATAGAGAAAAGATCAGGAACTACAAAGGTAAGCATTTCCAACAGAATACAAGAGATGGAAGAAAGAATCTCAGGAGCCAAAGATACACTTGTGGAAATTGACACGTCTCTCAAAGAAAAATTAAAATCAGAAAAGTTCCAAACACAAAACATCCAAGAAATCAAGGACACCATGAAAAGACAAAACCTAAGAATAATAGGAGTAGAAGAAAAAGAAGACATCAGGCTCAAAGGTCCAGAAAATATTTTCAAGAAAATTATAGAAGAAAACTTTCCCAACTTAAAGAAGGAGATGGCCATAAACATACAAGAGGCCTACAGAACACCAAGTAGACTAGACCAGAAAAGAAATTCTTCACGTCACATCATAGTCAAAACACTGAACCTACAAAACAAAGAAAAAATTCTAAAAGCAGCAAGGGAAAAAGGCCAAGTAACATATGAAGGTAGACCTATCAGAATCACACCAGATTTCTCAACAGAAACTATGAAAGCCAGAAGGGCCTGGACAGAAATCATACAGTCCTTAAGGGACCACAGATTTCAACCCAGACTACTATACCCAGCAAAACTTTCAATTAACATAGATGGAGAATTCAAGATATTCCAAGACAAAACCAAATTTAAACAATATCTACATAGTAACCCAGCTCTACAGAAGTTACTAGAAGGGAAACTCCAAACCAAAGAAAACAACTACATTGAAGGAAACAGAGGAAATAGATAACTACACAACAAAAAAACCAAAAGAAGACAAGCAATGAAACTCAGTGACACCACCAACACCACATCTAAAGTAAGTAACAATTGTTGGTCACTAGTTTCTATCAACATCAACGGACTCAACTCCCCAATTAAAAGACACAGACTAACAGAATGGTTGCGGAAACAGGATCCATCATTCAGTTGCATCCAAGAAACACACCTGTGCAACAAATATAAACACTACCTCAGAGTAAAGGGCTGGAAAAATGTCTTTCAAGCAAATGGTTCCAGAAAACAAGCGGGAGTAGCCATCCTAATATCTAATAAAATAGACTTTCAACCCAAGTTAATCAAAAAAGATAAGGAGGGCCACTATATTCTCATTAAAGGAAAAATCCACCAAGAGGACATCACAATTTTGAATATCTATGCCCCAAATACAAGAGCACCTACATTCGTAAACGAAACAATATTAAAGCTTAAATCACACATTGATCATAAAACCCTAATAGTGGGAGACTTCAACACTCCACTCTCACCAAGGGACAGATCAACTAGACAGAAAACAAATAGGGAAATAAAAACACTTACAGAGACCCTAAATCAAATGGACCTAATAGACGTCTACAGATCTTTTCATCCAAACTCAAAAGAGTATACCTTCTTTTTAGCACCGCATGGAACCTTCTCCAAAATAGACCATATAGCAAGCCTCAACAGATACATAAAGATTGAAATAATCCCTTGTATTCTATCTGACCACCATGGACTT